AAACTTTAACGGTGCTGCCAACTTTGGAAAAAGTCATCCCAATTTACTGTGTTGAGTTGGCATTGTACAGAAATGGACAGCCATATTGGTCTAGAAATGTTAATTTATTTTTATTTTTATTTTTAATTTTTTTCCATGTGTACAGGGGTAACATATTGTACTAAATATGTAAGGTCATATCTATGTTGGTTTGACTACAGAAACTAATAAAGTATTCTCTAAATAATGAAAAAAAGAATAAGATAAGACTATAAGAGCAAGAAGCAATTTAAATATGTTCAGGGAACACTTTCATCTTCAGAATTAAGGATTATTTTAATGTTACATCATTGCCTGTTCTCTTTTACTTTCCTTTTTAGTTTTATTTTAGGATTCCCTATTTTTAATGTTCATACAGAGATTTCTTTAACTGAAATATCGAATAGTTTCTTTGGTGTGAAAAACGATAATAGTACACAGGATCCTAATGAGATAATAATGTGAAATAGGAAGTAAAGGGCTAAAGGTGTAGGGAAAGTGGGAAGGGTGGGGGAAAGGTAATAAGGGAGAGGAAAAAATATGAGAAACTGAAAAAATGGAAATAAAGTGTTTGTAAATGGGGAGGGGAGGAGCGGGTGAAGGGAGGGCAGGGACAAGGGGAAAAAATGAGAATCAAGACCTATTATGTAAAGGTACAGAATCCCAATGATGAATGTAACTGTATTGAATACCTAGATTGTACCAGTAAACTCAATAAAAAGAAAAAAAAATATATATATACCTTTTCTCCTTTAAATTGTAGGTATCAAATGTTGTGTCTCAGTGACAAGAAAGTAACTAAAACACACACACACACACACACACACACACACGCATACACTGAGACACATACACAGAGCCTTGACTCCTTGTTACTTCTGACTGGTGGCTACAAAACAATTTTATAGAGATACAGAATTGGTTTCTTATGAAGAGACATTTTTAATATTTTAATTTTTGAAGTGGAAATAAAAGTTATTATTTAATAATTATTTCTATAAACAAAACCATGAAGACAGAGATGATTGCTAAGAATTCATTTAGGTCTCACTAAGAAGGCAACCCTAGTACAAACAATAATAAACAAGTACAAACAGTACAAACAGCAATAAACAAGTTCATATAATGAATAATTTTAAGGATGGGGGTTATGTGATCCTGTGATTGTTTTTTTAGCCATTTTTTTTCTGTGTAAATATTTGTTGTAATGTTAGGTTACCTTAGAAGTGGCTCTGTCGATTCATAATAATTTAGACTGACAATGTCCCCCAAACCTCATGCACTCAGCGTTTTGGACCATGGTGTGCTAGAGCTGACTTGCTGTTAAGGTGGGCCTGGTCAGAGGAGGGGGGCCACTGGGAGTAAACCCAATAGGGTGACTTTCCCTCCCTAGTTCCTCCCTTCTATCTCCATTTCCTGGTCTCCACGAGAGAAGTAGCAGCCCCCCACCAGGCCCTTCTATCATGATGTTCTAGCCTTGGAGCAGGGAGCTGTGGACTGAAATTTCTCAATTCTGTGAACCAGAATAAACCTTTCCTCCTATAAGTTGTGAGTGTCAGGTATTTGGTCCAAGCAATGAGGAAAGTGATGAAGACCGATGGTCACAGCAATCAGAAAGAAGTGAAGGCTGGTGGTCACAATGTGTTTTTAATTTTCATCAAAAGAACGAAAATACTAAAATGTTACTAAGATGTTCTTTTTCATGTCTATTCTTTCTGACTTGACCCTCCAGTACAGGAATACATCTTCATATTTGTAGTCTTTGAATTTAATCCAATCCAAGTTTCTTAAATTGGTAGGAACAGGAGTTGATAAAGGGCTTCACGTCACAGGTGGGTGTGATTTCAGAAGGTTGCCATAATTGCTGCTTTACTCATAGGTAGACGGTGAAGATAAATGTTTTAGAAATGAACAAATACAAATAGCATAAAAATGAGAATTTTCCTCAGATTGAAGAGGCAGACATAGCCAAGTGATCATAGCCAAGTGAGACATGCCATTGACCATTTTCTTTTCCTGGAGCCCAGAAAGAAACTGGGACTTCTTTCTAGGCGATCCATTACAGCACAGGTGAAGAGATTTTTCAGATATTTAAGGTCCCCAATGAGCTGATTTTCTAGTATCAGAAGGGAGAGTCTCCTTCATAGCCATGATTAAGGTGAAAGTTTCAAAGAGAGGGACCGGGCAACTCCTGAATTCAGAGACTCTCCTGCTGACCTTGAAACACAACTGCCATGAGTTGTAAGATTGTGAGGAAATAAATTTGGCCAGCGGCAGCTTGAATTTGCAAGACTGGAGTCTCGGTGAGAACACAGACCTGTCTGACACCTAAGTGGCAGCCTACTAAGACCCTGAAACAACTAACTCATGTCTGGACATGTGACCTGCAAACACTGTAAGACAATACACGTCTCTTCTTTCGTGATGCTAAATTAGTGGTACTTTCTTACATAGGAAGAGAAAGCTAGTGCAACTGAGCAGGAAAATATTTTCATCTGAAACATATATGGGAAAGTACTTGGTATTGTACTTATAAAGGAGGTTGGGAGTTCTTGCGAATTTTGTGAACCTTAAACTCCTGAACCTTAAACCTCTCTTAAAATTGAGGAAAGAGAAATAGAACGAAATATCCCAAACCAGTGGCTAAGGAAAACTTATGGTGCTCTGCCATCTCACCCACCTTACCCCTACTCACCAAAAGAACGCAGAAAGGTTGCATGCCAAATACCTGTGACAGTCATCACACATCCTCTCCTCACCACCTCTGCATTCTCCACGAGCCCAGCAATAGCACAGCTATTTTTAAGGCTTTACAGTAGTTGCCAGAATTTCTCAGGTCCACTGTAATCTTTTTTTTTTTTTTTTTTTTTTTTAATTTTTTTTTTTTGACAGGGTCTAACTCAATAATCCAGGCTGACCTTGAACTTACTATATAGCCCAGGCTGGCCTTAAACTCTCCTCAAGTAATCCTCTGGCCTCAGCCTCCTTAGTGCTGGGATTACACGCATGTACCACCATGCCTGGCATGCTGCAGTGATTTTTAAAACATTACATATTTTTTCAAACATTCTTTTCGGATTAAACTGTGTAACAGAACTCAGCAGAACGCAGAAGAAAACACTGGACTCCAAGTGTTTCTGTGTAGGGCGGTGCTGTGAACTTCTATTACCCGAGTACAGACCCAGCTCCCTCAAGAGGCCTGGGAGTGTAGGGGAAAGTGGATGTCTTGGGTAAAGCATGGCTAGCATGGGAAACACGGCATTTCAGACAGCAGAGGCTTCCTTGGCAGGAATAGCCATGGCTCCTTTAGAAGGGGGCGGTGTGTATATGCCAGCATTTATTTACCTTTTATTTCTTTAAAATTTCACCTCTGAGTGAACCTAGATCATCTCTAAAGTGTGAGTTAACACGAAAGAAGGAATTAGACCATGGAATGAAGAGACTGGCTCTTGTCTCAAAGCTGTTTTATTTTGAGCCTGAACCAGCAAACACACCCTTGAGCGGGACAGTAGATTTTTTTCCTTCCGTGACCTCAGCTCCCACACTTCTCCACTCTTGCTCGCTCCTCAGATGCTTTGTGTCACTTATCTTTACATACCCCATATATTTTTATTTGGACAACCATTTTTTCCTTAGAAGGTTTTGTATATTTCTCTCTCCAGCCTCTGCATTTCTGATCTGGCTGAAATGTAGTCCTCACTCCAAGCTTAATACAGTGGACCCAGAAATTTTCAGGGGTTACATTCCTAGAGCATCTATGAATTGTGAAAAACCATAAATTTCAGATATAGTCAGAAAAATACCTACAAATGCCTATCTTGAAATAGCTTATTTAAAATTTTTATTGATACATTTTAGATACACATAGTGATAGCATTCATCATAGAGAATTTGTACCTGTACATGATATATCTTGATTCTTCTTTTCTTCCCAATTTCCCTCTCCTACCCTCAACCCTTCTTCCCCTCCTTATTTACAAAAGCTTTTTACAAACCCTAAATATGCTATGTCTCCTACAGTTAGGTAATTTAACTTAATGAAATATTGTATTTATAAAGCCTTAGAAGGTGCAGGTTTTTTGGTGGCATCTTTGGGAATCTTAGGGGATTAAGAAGAATAAAACCAAGAACATTCAAGATAGTTACAGTGGTACAACACCCTGTTATGATGTGGTAACTCTGGTGCATCTGCTGGAGATGGGTCACAGGGCAGCAGCCAATCAGCAGCAAGGAGAACTGAATGACACTCTCAGATTGGCTATTTGCAAACCTCCCAACAATAGAACAAAGCACAATTGCAGAGGATATTTGCGGTTTCTGCAAAATTGCAGGGGCTTCCATGGGCAAATATTAGGTTCTAAGGAAAAATCCTCAAACATATGAGGCCACAAACTCTGAACTGTGCCTTCACAGATATGTACTGTAATTATTCTCATCCGAAAGGTAATTAGATAGTAGCCATTAAAAATTACTAAGGGCAATAGTGAATATATATAATATCTATATATCATATCTAATATATATATCTATTAGGCTGAATTATAAAATTAAAGTTTCTTTAGTTGAAAAACTTAAATATCACCAAGAAAACAGAAATGATTAACTCAGAAAGGCCAAGCATCTCTTTATAACTAGTTTATCCATCCTTGTTATTTATAGCTCCTGAGTCTTCCCTCCCTTGTACATAACCAGCCACACCACAAAGTATATGCTTAATGTAACAGAGTCTTTCCATCCTTGCCTACTCCCATAGTATACTGGATCAGAGATCACAGCCTTGGTGCTTCTCGTGTGCAAGGATGTCCTTGCGGTCTTTTAGCAGGACAGTAGGTGACCCGCCGATACCGACAATTACTGATGAAAGAATGGAAATAGTGAAGTTTTAGTGATGGTAGTTAATCAGTGGAGAGACTTTGAACTCGGGCTTTGTGTCTGTGATTTGCTTGATGCATAGTTTTAGTCAGATGAACTGGATCAGATATCAAAGTATGGAACACCACTAATACAGTCAGGTATTGAGTAATGTAAATAAGTTTGTCTGGTAAATATAAAAAGGGAACTTTTCAGTTAGATGAGTGAACATTTGTTTGTGGTGAGCTAATCAAACGGGCAAACCACTTACTTAGCAGAATATGATGCCATTATTTGTAGTTGTCGGCAGGACTAGGTTCAAGGGCAAGTGAATGAGCGTAATTGGGCATTTTCCTCAGTACAAAACCTAAGGGAGGAGAACAGCAACAATCACAACAGTATACTTCAATGCTCTACTTTAAACTATCAATTTTAATGCAAAATGCCACGATAAACCAAGTATCAAAGTTTAAAAGAAGCAGCATCTGTAACAATGTGATCCACACTGGAGCCAAAGGCAAAAAAGAAAAATCCGTTTTACTGATCCTGTCTTTTAAAAAAATTGCTATGGTTTTCTCATCATGGATTTTCCCATCAATTTGGAATTTTTAAAATATTGCCTTTAGATAGCATTTATCTTGATTACCGTATACTTTGGTTCTGTGCCCAAAGCAAGTATTTCACTTGCCTCAGCCAGGTTCTGGCCATATATGAGTGCTATTGTTCTTTTTCAATGTTTTGGCTCATGTATAAACAATATTTCTCATTCTCCTTAGTTTCTCATAGTTTGGGGTCAAAATTCTACATCATACATTTATGACCAACTGACTTTCACAAGGATGCCAAGAATTTTCAATAAAGAAAAAGAAAAAAAATAGCCTTTTTTCTTTTTCTTTTTCTTTTTTTTTTTTTTTTTTT